TCCTGCATTCCTCTGCCCCCCACCTCTTGTCTTCTCTGAATGCTATAAAAACTGACCTGTTACCCCCATTAAACGGGACCTTGACAAGAAATCTGCTTGGTCTCCCTTCCTTCTTTCTCGTCTATTCTTTTACAGGCTGGGTCCCCCTCGCCCCCCGAATAACCGTGTCCCGCAGGACGGGACATCCACTTCCTCCTGGGACAGACGGGAGGGGACAGGGACCACCAGTCTCACCAAATGACCAGACATCGGATTTGCTGCTAAAGCGGCTGTAGTTAAAGACTTCAGGGGGACACCACTTCACGGGAAACTTGGCACCGGAGGAACTTGTGTACTGGTCATCCAGAACATACCTAGGGTGAGACACACCACAGACTTACACCTCTGAGATACAACCCACATTTGGATATGTTCTTTCATTTTTTTTCCCACTTAACAATCAAAACCACAGTTGACTGACCCAGCACCCCAGTGGCCACGTCTGATGGTTTACAACTTCTTCTGAGCTGAACTTAAGGCAAGCGATGAATCTACACCACGTTGAGGATCTGCGCTTTCATTTCTCTGTTCCTCTTTCTTTTTTGCAAAGCAGTAGAGGCAGAATACAATGAAATAGTTCACAGAGTAATTTGTAAGCAATTTTGTTCTTTAAACAGAATTGTACCCAAAAGCCCCACTTGTAAAAAACTAAAACAGAACCGTTTTAAAGGAAGTGGTATAAAGTGTCGAGAGGCACATGTGCTTTTAGCCCCCACGATGCCACAGAGCATATTTTAAAGCTATAGTATATGAAAAGAGCAACTGCAAAAAGACATGCATAACTGGCAGAGCCCCCATCTATATACCACACTGTCTCCACTCTGCACACTCAAAACAGTACCATGGAATTTGTCTTTGTGAACAGACCTTTGTCCTTCTGGAAGGACACTGAGAAACTGGTAACGGAATCTCCCTTTGTGGGAGAATCCTTGATTAAGGATAGAAGATTTAAGGACAGGGCGGTGCCTGTGGGTCAAGGAGTAGGGCCCCAGCCCCATATGCCGGAGGTGGTGGGTTCAAACCCAGCCCTGGCCAAAAACTGCAATAAAAAAAAAGAAGATACAAGGACGTCAGCCCTTTGTGTAATGTGCTTAGTACATCTTTATAGGAGGATTGTGTTTATGTATTATATGTACATACAAAATCAACTTCCAAAAGCTGCCATGAGAAAAAATTCACATAATTGTAGGAACTTCCTTTGCTGTACGGACAAAGAAGGTAACACGGCAGAAACGCCCCCTGCTGGCGCGGGCGATGCCACCTGGGCTAAATGAACTTGCTGCTACTAGTCAAGGGAGTCCGCATTCAGTACACCAAGGCATTTTAGAGGGACTGATAAAGAAGGACAGATTATCTGAAAGCCAAATATACCAACTTTAAACAAATGAAAGCAGAGGAGTGCCTGTGAGAGACAGAACACCTTCATACGGTAAGCAGAACGTGACTTCATGAAACAGTTTTAAATTTTAAAACTATTTTAAATTGCACATGGAGTTTATGAACACCTGAAAAAAGCAAATAAAGAACTCTGGGTAGACTGGGCGAGGTGGCTCACACCTGTAATCCTAACACTCCAGAAGGCCGAGGCAGGTGGATTGCTTGAGCTCAGGAGTTGGAGCCAGAGCAAGAGCAAGACCCCCTCTCTCTGCCTCCCTCTCATCCTGTCTCTAGAAAAAAACTAGCTGGGCATTGTGGTGGGTGCCTATAGTCCCAGCTACTCAGGAGGTTGAGGCAAGAGGATCTCTTGAGCCCAACCAAGAGTTTAAAGTTGCTGTGAGCTATGATACCATGGCACTGTACCCAGGGCAAAAGAATGAGACTCTGTCTCAAAAAAAAAAAAAAAAA